CCCAGGATCATTCGTCATCGAATGAGGATTGAGGTTCATTCATTAACCATCCTTACGAAACTTCAGCCCTTTTCACATTAAGAAATGTATCAACAACCTCAAATTTGGCTAACTCCTTAAATTTCCGAAAATTTGGCCAGAGTTTCCTTTGTAACTTGGCCTATCCACCTATCAGAGAGCCCCCGAAACACATTTTCAAGTACCATTACACCATACACATTTCACATTACTCATTAACTTATCACACGAGTTCTTACAAAACCTTCATTTACCAAAAAGGGGTTTGCACATGACTTAAATAATTATAACACATACAATTCTTGCACAACTTGAGGAATTATAATAGTAAAACAAAATGGGGTGTATTTGCACCAAATTGAGCATAACATCAATTTTTTTTTCTAGATATAAGGGCTCATACAATCACTACAAGACTTGTTCAAACAGATGGGGATATTTCTTTTTCATCTCCTCTTCCGGTTCCCACGTGGATTCCTCAACTTGTTGATTCCACCACAACACTTTGACTGAAGCAATTTCTTTATTTCGCAATTTACGGACTTGCCTATCAAGAATAGCAACTGGAACCTCTTCATAAGACAGCTCTTTGGTAACCTCAATGTCTTCTACTGGCACGATCGCGGACGGATCACCAACAACCTTTCTTAACATTAAACACCAGATGCACTAGAGACATTTCGGGAGGCAATTCCAACCTGTAGGCAACCTGACCAATCCTTTGAGTAATTTGATAAGGTCCAACATACCTAGGACTCAGTTTCCCCTTCTTTCCAAAGCGCATGACTCACTTCATAGGAGGTACCCTCAAGAATACCCAATCACCCACTTGAAACTGCAATTCTCTTCGACGCACATCTACATATGATTTCTGGCGACTCTGTGCTGTTTTCATCCTCTCCTGAATAACTCTTACCTTTTCCATGGCCTGGTGCACAAGATCTGGCCCTAATAACTCTGCTTCGCTCACCTCGAACCATCCGATCGGGGACCTACACCTTCTTCCATACAGTGCTTCAAATGGGGCCATCTGGATGCTAGCATGATAACTGTTATTATAAGCAAATTCGATAAGAGGCAAGTGATCATCTCAATTACCTTTGAAATCCAAGACACAAGCCCGCAACTTATCTTCAAGCGTCTGAATAGTCCGCTCGGCTTGACCGTCGGTCTACGGATGAAAAGCTGTGCTAAGATTGACTTGAGTTCCCAAACCTTGCTGGAATTTCTTCCAGAAATTAGCTGTGAACTGAGCCCCTCGATCCGAGATAATAGAAAGTGGAGTACCATGAAGCCTCACTATCTCCTTGATGTACAACCGCACATACTGTTCTGTAGTGTCGGTGGACTTGACTGGCAAGAAGTGAGCTGATTTAGTGAGTCGATCAACTATCACCAAATTGAGTCGAACTTGCACTGAGTGCGAGGTAATCCTACCACGAATTCCATATTGATCATCTCCCACTTCCACATTGGCATCTCTATAAGTTGAGTCAATCCACCGGGCCGCTGATGCTCGGCCTTCACTTGCTGACAATTTGGGCACTTGGACACGAAGTCCGCTACACCCTTCTTCATACCACTCCACCAGTAAATTTCCTTGAGATCGTGATACATCTTTGTAGATCCTGGATGCACAGAATACCTGGAATGATGAGCCTCCGCCATTATCCTTTCCCGAAGACCATCCACATTTGGAACGCACAACCTGCTTTGGCACTGCAATACCCCATCACTGCTGTCGAGTGAAAATGCTGAAATCTTGCCGCTTAGAACTATTTCCTTCAACTGAGCCAATGTCGGGTCCTTGAACTATTTCTCCTTAACTTCTGCCACAAGTAATGATTCAGTTGTGTTATGCACCATGAGTTGCTCTTCATTTGGGGCCGAAATACGAACCTCAAGACTTGCCAACTGGTGTACCTCCCGAGCTAGGAGCTTCTGATCCGCTCTCAAGTGAGCCAAGCTACCCATGGACTTCCGACCGAGGGTGTCAGCTACTACGTTCGCCTTCCCTGGATGATACAAATTGTTCATGTCGTAGTCCTTAAGCAACTCCAACCACCGCCGCTGCCTCAAGTTTAACTCCTTCTGCTTAAACAAGTATTGAAGACTTTTGTGATCCGAGAACACATCTACATGAACCCCGTAGAGGTAGTGCTGCCATATTTTCAAGGCGAATACCACTGCTGCAAGCTCCAAATCGTGCGTCAGATAATTCTTCTCATGATTTTTAAGTTGCCTTGAAGCATATGCTATGACCTTCCCGTGTTGCATCAATACACACCCCAAGCCGACCTTGGAGGAATCACAATAAACCACAAATCGCTCTGTGCCTTCTGGTGAGGCCAATACCGGCGCCGAGGTCAATCTTGACTTCAATTCCTGAAAGATTTTCTCACAAGCGTCGGAGCACTGGAATTTGACTAATTTCTGCATCAATTTAGTCAATGGGGAGGCGAGGGTGGAGAATCCCTCTACAAACCTCCGATAATGTATACCAGTTAAGAAAAGTAAACAGGAGGGGCATGAGTCAAAGCTCTCTTGGCGCACTTTAATAACGTACGCCATCCATGGGGAGGAGATCTAAGACTTCAATCCCTGTAGCAAATTTGACGCAGGAAATGACGGGAAGGATACCTAATCCATCGTTCAATGTCAACATAGCAAATTCGGGAGGGGGGGGGGAAATCAAGGTTGATTTCAGAAATTATTGGAGCTGGACCTAGGGCAAGAGCAGAGGAAATTAGGAATCAATTAATGGGAGAATCGAGCACAACTAATAAAAATGAATCACAGATAATGGATGAGCAACAACTGGAGTGGGAGAAATCAGTACAGGAATCTGGAACTAACAGGAAGATGTCATGAGCGGATGAAGCAGAAGAACAAGAGAAGAACCAAAAACAGTTGCCGGCGTCAGTCTGGGATAATTTCGATATAGGAAAAATCACCAATGCCGGGTTTAAACTGGAGTATGTGAGGCCTGAAATAGAAGGGGATAAGTTGATTGAGGAAATTGATGCAGAGGATATAGAATCTGAGATTGAATACTGGAAGAATGCAGTTGTGTGTTATGTACTAGGGGCATATCCACCATTTAGTGTCCTAAACAGCTACTTACAGCGGATTTGGGGGAAGCATGGCATCGATAAGATAGCTATGTTGAAGAATGGAATAGTAGTGGTTCGTTTTGATACTGAAGCAGGGAAGACTGAAGTTATACAGGAGGGGATTTTTCATTTTGATAATAATCCTCTAATAGTGAAAGCGTGGAATGTGGAGATGGATTTCTCAAAGGATGAATTGAGTACAGTTCCAATTTGGGTGAGATTACCAGGATTGGAATTCAAGTACCGGAGTGCTAAGGGATTAAGCAAGATAGGGAGTCTAATAGGGAAACCATTGATGGTGGATAAGAATACTGAAAAGAAAGTAGGGCTTCACTTTGCAAGGCTGCTAGTAGAGGTCAAAATTGGTGAGCAATTTCTGGAAGTAGTGTATTTTAAAAATGAAAAAGGTGTAATAGTAGAGCAGAAGGTGACATATGATTGGAAACCTACTGTATGTAAAGAATGCAACAAATATGGGCATACTAGGGAAAACTGCAGAAGGAACAAAGAGAAAGAAGTGAAACAAGTCAGGGAGAACAATGTGAATAAAGATGAGGGGAATCCAAGCAACAGAGGAGTTCAAACTGGGAACCTTACACAGAATGAGGTTCAAGAGCAAATTGAAGGGAGAAAGCAGAATGAAAGTGGCAAAGAGATAGAAAATAAAAGGAAAGAAGTGGGAATTGGACAGAAACAAGGTGGGGGATGGAATCAACCACAAAACCATGCTAGTGTCCCTATTGTTATCAAGGATGTGGTAGCAGTAGCAAATACTTTCAAAGCATTAGAAGGTGAAGAAAAAGGAGCTGGAAGTCAAGAGAATGTGGGTAGCAAATCATCTCTCAATTTGAGGGATGGTTAATATACTAAGTTGGAACGTGAGGGGCCTAAATGGCCCTATAAAACAGAGGGAAGTAAAGACCCTCTGTAATGAGTTGAAAGTGGGATTAATAGGAATGTTGGAAACTAGAATAAAGGGAAATAAGGTGGATGGAATAGTTAGTAAAATGTTTGGGGGTTGGGAGTATTTTTCTAATCACAATACTCACTATAATGGGAGGATTCTGATAGTGTGGAGGCCTGAATACTACAAGATTAGGGTAGTATATCAATGTGCACAGGCTGTTACCTGTGAAGTCTTTTATGTACCTATACAAATGGAATTCATCATCACATTTGTATATGCACATAATGCTAGAGAAGATAGGAAGGAATTATGGGAGTATCTTAGTAGGGGTATTGGGAAGAAGCCATGGATAGTGGTGGGGGATTTTAACTCTATCTTACATTTGGAGGACAGAATGGGGGGAAATAAAGTGACAATAAATGAGGTGAAGGAGTTTCAAGAGTGTATAGATAAGGTGGGGTTAACAGAACTACCTAATAATGGAGGTAGATATACTTGGAATGACAAACATGATGGTGGGAGAATATTCTCAAAGATCGACTGGGTATTTGTGAATGAAGATTGGATAGAAAACAAGATAGACTATAGAGCTAAAATTCTGGCTGAAGGAGTGAGTGATCATACTCTAATCTAGATCATAGAAGTAGAGGGAATGAAGCATGGAGGGATGAAATTTAGATATTGTAATATGTGGAGTACACATCCAAATTTTAGGAGCTTGGTGGGGAAGATCTGGAGCATGCAGATTGAGGGACACAAAATGTTTCAAGTGGTGAAGAAAATGAAGCTGTTGAAGAGGGAGCTGAAGGGTCTGCACAGGAATAACTTTAACAATATTATAGAGGAGGCGGCAGAGGATAGGAATAACCTGAGGAAATGCCAGGAAGCACTACAGCAGGATCCTATGAATGCAATATTACAAGAGGAAGAGAAGGTTAAGGGAGAAAAGTTTAGAGAATCAAACAACAAGGCAGAACTGTTGATGCAACAAAGAAGCAAAGCAAACTGGCGAAGAGCAGGGGACGACAATACTAAGTATTTTTTCTCAATCATGAAGCAAAGGAAGTTAACACAAATCATCACACAAATAGAAGATCAGAATGGGCAGGTGCAACATGAGCCTGAGAGGATAGCTGAGGTATTTGTAGAGTATTACAAGGCATTGCTGGGAAAGAAAGATGAGAGGGTGGGAATGCAGAACAATGGTTTTTAAAGAATGGGTACCAAATAGAGGCAGAGAAGCAGGTTGAATTGTTAAAACCATTTACTAGCAAAGATGTCAAAGAGGCTATATGGGGCATCAATATAAACAAAAGTCCAGGGCCGGATGGGTATGGAAGTGGTTTTTTTAGAGAAACATGGGATATTATAGGAGAGGATGTTACAGAAGCAATCCTAACCTTTATGAAGAATGGGAAAATGTTGAAGCAAATAAATGCTACAATATTAACTCTGATCCCTAAAGTTATAGATCCTAATACTGCTGCTCAATTTAGGCCTATTTCATGCTGTAATGTTATCTATAAAGGCATTCCAAAAATGATATGCAAGAGACTGAAGGAGGTGTTACCACAGATTGTAAATGGAACACAAGCTGCTTTCATTCAGGGAAGATCATTGGTTCATAATGTTCTCATATGCCATGAATTAATAAGGCATTACAACAGGAAGATGACAACTCCTAGATGCTTAATGAAGATTGACTTGAGGAAAGCATATGATATGGTTAGATGGGACTTTGTGGCAGAAATGCTAAAAGGGTATGGCTTTCCAAACAGGTTTGTAGATCTGGTAATGACATGTGTGTCAACAACTACATTCTCAGTAGGAGTAAATGGCGTAGGGCATGGATATTTTGAAGGACAAAGGGGACTTCGTCAAGGTGATCCAATGTCACCATTACTATTTGTAATGGTGATGGAATACCTATCAAGAATATTGCAGAAAATGAGTTAGCTTCCAGATTTCAGTTTCCATCCAATGTGCAAGAGTTTGAAACTTACACACTTAACATTTGCTGATGATCTTATGATCTTTTGCAAAGCCAATAGGGAATCAGTGGGTAGGGTGATGGAGGCTTTGAAAATATTCTCCAATGCAACGGGGATGATGGCAAATATGGACAAGTCAAGTATATTCATTGCTGGGGTTGATGAAGAGGTTGAAGATGGGCTACTGAAACAAACTGGGTTCACAAAAGGGTGTTTCCCTATACGATACCTGGGACTCCCTTTATCACCCAGAAAATGGAGCAAAATGGAATGCCATCAGCTGATTATGAAGATCACAGAAAGAATTAGAAATACTGCTGCTAGACATGTATCATATGCAGGTAAACTACAAATAATAAACTCTGTTCTGTTCTCAGTACATAATTTCTGGGGGGGGGGGGGGAGTTTTTTT